CCACCGCGCCAAGCTTGCTCCCGTGATGGACTACAATCTTAACACAAACTAGTCGTCAATCACTGGAGCCTTTTTTTTTTTATCCGATTAACCGATTAATCGAACTTAATAATCGGCCAACTAATCGATTATGAAAATAATCGTTAGCTGCAGCCCTACTTCCAGGTATGGAGGAGCATGTGCCTCACTTGCTTACCACTCATGTAACAATGCTGGTGATTGCTGTCACATAGGGGCAAATAAGATTCTTCAGCACTGTTCCAAGTACAGCTATTTGAAAGTTGCACAGGGCTTCCTTTCCTCAATCCAACCAGCAGAACGGAATATCAAGGAGTGAAGGAAAATCAAGTATATGCTATTGTAAAAGGAATATATAAAGCTAACCTGTTGCTTTGCTCTGCATGCGCAAAGTACATATTTGCTTTAACTGTTCCTGTTTTTCTGGAAAGACTGCTCAACCAACATGGTCAAATTTTGTATGCAATGTATGTAGTGCCTCCAATTAACTCTATTTTATATTGTAATTTTAAATAATGGAAAATCCATAAAAAATAAAAGAAACTGAATCCAAAATTCCCAACGCTTTCGCAGAATTCTTTCCAACATAAACAATTCTTCGGACAGTACTGTGCCAAGCAAAGGGCACTGTTCAGTCAAGATCTGCTTTGTTCTTTTCTTGCCAGTTTCTACTGACTTAACAAATGCGGAGAAATCCTATATTGTTACAGGTTTATTTTCCTTATAAACTCACTTGGAGATTGTTTTACAAATGTTCTGTCATTGTAGCCAGAATAATAAGAGAAATATGTTATGATATCAAAACTGGAGCAATAAAATTCAAGCTGTGGATGGTGAGCCACGCCACTCCTTCAACTTTTCATATTGCTGATCTCTTTCTGACAGCAGGCTAATGAATTGAACAGTGGATTTATCTGGTACTTTCCAAAAGGTAATTACCCGCTGGCATCTCCCTAAAGGAGTGTCTTATAGGTTTGATCTGTTCTGCTCCTACTTGAACAGGAATGACCTTCAGATATGACCTTAGACAACACACACTTAGACAAGGCCACCACTCCTTCACATTCAGATTGTACAGACATTTTACACTCCATATGCTACTAAATCCTGGCTCAGCAGCAATAAGCATCTGTGTAAAGGACTGCCGCTGTTTCAGGGCAGACAAGATATTAAGAACCATTTATAACAATCCACCAGCAATTCTTGCAAGCAGTTTGCTTGAAAATGAACACGGTTCTAGACAGCAGATTTCACATTTGTTTTCTTTTTGTTTGAAAGATGAGAGATGATATTGCGGTCTGAAGTGCAGGCTCAGGGGCCATTATTCTGACAATGCCTTCACTACATGGTCAATTACTGACCTGGAACAGAAGTGCAAACAGTAAAGACTGAAAAATCTAAACTCTCATAATTCATACCTGTTCCAAGTCCGTGATTAACAAGATGTCAAAAGTAAACATCAAGACAATGATGAGCCCTGGAACCTGAACCTTTAAAAACAAGGCCACAATAATCGTATCCATATATCTAATCCTGTAGGTTCCCTTTAATGCAGGTCTGTCATCTCATGGAATGGGGTTGTCCACAAAGCACTATATTTACTCCCTGTGATTCAGTAACCTTTTATAGTGGCACCATTGTTATCTTTTTTTTTTTTCAATAAAGATATTCAATTCTTAGGTGCAGTAACTGATGGCAACCAGACTCTGGTTAATTCTGAGGAGAAAGCAGAGTACTTAGGTAAATGGAAAGTCAACTTGCTTTTGAGCATGCTAGTAAGGACAGGGGTAATGTGAAGCACACAGATTGACTTCATGCTTAGTATACTCATGAAGGGCTAAGGAAAAGCTCATTATTGTCCATAGAAACATATGAGAAATAAATGAACACATGTTGGAGCCTGGCCAGGAAGAATTTCAAAAGTGGCTGTGTGTTGTAATGAGCTGAAGTCTGAGAGGGGGGCTTAGGGCCTAACTACCCACCAGCATAAACATTTCTTTACTAACATGCTCCATTCAGCAGCCGGGAATGGGGAAGTAAGCTCCAAATCAACCATTGTCACACAGGGCTATGGACCCCTTCACTGATACTATGTGAGAGTGCTGGGCCAACCAAAAAGCACCTAGCCACGTTGCATAAGAGAAGGGAAGTGAGTCACATGCTAACCCATACCCGCAGGTGCCGGATATTTCTCACCAGTTCCAGTGCCCAAATGGAGTGGCCCTTGGAGGAAAAGGGCATACAGGGACGAAGGGAGGTTTGATTTTAAGTCTCAGAGTGGATTTAAAATTACGGAGCAATATTTACACGCACATGATGCATTGACGTGCCCTGCCATCAAAAGCCCTAAATGTTCACGTTCTTCGATAAGCCATTTGTGACTGTTTTTGAAATCACAACCTTACACTTCAGAACCTAAAAAAACATTCATGTTTTTGGTTCATTTGAGTGCCCTTTCTGGTATGCAAGATGTTTTATTGCAAAATGCGTTCCCTCTAATTGCACAGCAAAATTACATCTTTATTCTTTCCTTGCTTTTCTGAGTGCAGCTGGCTGGAGAGGGAAAAAAGCTTTTATTCCTCAGTAAGCTGTGGTGATCAGTCAGAAAAGGAGAAGTTACGCTTCTGTAATTTTAATTAATTCTACCTTGTTTTTTGCTGGATCAGCGTCTGTTCCTTCATACTAGAAACATTAAGCTGTCCTTTTGGCACCAAAAACGGTGTGCAGTCGGCACCTCAACCTGATGCTAATTAGCTTTTCCATTTAACCCATACTACTCCACACACATTTTAATGTTTTACTCCATTGTGCTTCTTTAAAGGGGAGCTCCAGTCAAAATGTTGCATGCAGAGTTACAACCCTGTTAGATTTGTATTGCTCTTTATGTCTCTGTATAGTAGACTCACTGCCACTTGCTGTCCTGGTGAACACTGTCTTTGGGACAGAAGTTGAATATTTTCTAAAATCTTACAGCTGTCACCAGAACAAAAAATAAGACAAGTGTCCCAAATGTAGGATTTCCCTATTTGGGATAATTTCCTTCCACTTCCTGTTGCGTTTCTGGGACAGAATTGAGAGGCAACCACCCCAAAGATTGCACAGAAATCATTTAAAAAAATAAATAAATAAAAAAGCCCTCTACTACAATACTACCCACCTAAAATGGCCTGACTGGATATTCTCTCACGGTTCCTTGAACCCTACTACTCCAAACAAACCTGAAATGGCTAGTTGTATGAAACACAAAATGCCATTTGGATAAATTGCTTTGTATTTTAGGCTCTATACAAACCAGCAATTCTGGATGTACCATTGGGGTATAAAGTAATGATTTGGATAGGTTTCATAGAAAACTATATTGGTGTTGGTTCAATTGTGTGTGAAACATCTTTACTTACAAATAAACATTTATTTTGCACAATCACAAAAGTATAAGGCCATCCAGCTCACCACAGGTTCATCCCCTATTGAGAGCTTAATTGAATGGAGGGGTCACAGAGACCTCTCTCTGATTAAGTTTAATTAGGTGGGTGAAACATGTCAGAGCAGATGAACAGGTTGGAGTGTTTCTGCTACTTGGTAAAGTTTTGTGTATGAAAATGGAAGCTGTGTGCAACCTAAAGCTGACCATACACTCCAAATTTCAGCCCATTCTTGATGATACGCCAGATTCGCTTAGTGGGTGGCCCTGTTGGCAACCTTCTGTCCTGCATCCTTTGACCAGAAAATCAAACGAGCCAGCCTTAAAATCAGCTGCCATCGCTGTTCGGGTATTCTGGCAGCAGCACACCCACCGCTGTCAGAATACAGCCCAGCAGGTTATTCATCCAGTAACACTGTTTACCATGGATGAAGGAATCTTATTTTTAGTTAATCCCCCATTTTGAAAGAACAATATATAACAGTGTATGGCCAGTTTTTTACTTTTGTGATTGCAGTGAGGGGGGGGTGAGGATGCTCAAAGTTTGGTTTGGCACTCGCAGCAGCTGTGCGCTGCTTTAGAAAAAACCTCTGTCATGGCGTTGCGTGAACACAAGGTGTACCCATAACACCGGTGTCATCGTGCATTATTCGTTTTCTAAAGGGAAAGCAGAGACAGCAGAACCTGTCTGTCTTCAGAATCTCTTTCTAATTTACATTTTCTGCTGGCTATGTGAACAGGAAAATTCAAAGAATTTCTCTGACTTAAAAGACATTTCCACCTTTCTAAGTGATTTTGAGTTTTTTGCAGTAATGTAGAGGTGCAGAGGAGATGTACATGTGTGTGCATTCTCAGGAGTCACAGGGCTGTTTTTCATACTTTATTTTATAGACTCTTTCACAGGCCAGAGACCTAAAAATTAAAAACTCCCTCCACAGGATCTGCAATACGTCTCTCAGACGGACGGGTTGTGATAAAACATTTTTAACATTGTTAAAAATTTTATCTATACAAAAGTATACGATCCAATAGAAATAAGGTGTGCTTGAACAAGCTCATAATCCCTTGTGATTAGCTCAGGCTACAAAAAAAGTAGATGCAAGTAAAGAAGCAGATTCTACCAGTGGTGCCATAGAGAGCACTTGCAGTTGTTTCAAGAGAAACTTGGCTAGGATAAGTCAAGTTATTCTGAAAAAGTACCTATAACTATTTAATTGCCATGCAAAATGTCATTAAATAAGGGACTGTGGGTAGTAGAAGAAGCTGTAGGTGGTATTGTCTTCTCCATACCGAAAAGAAGATGGTGTTTTTTGATATGGTACCTGTAGCGAGAGAAAGCTGGTATACAGTTCCTGGCTACAAATACCTCTACAGTACTCAGAACTGCCTTCACTCTTACTGCATCGTAACACTCTCGCTTTGAGAAAGAGCACGTTAATCAAAAAAGGCAATAAATGTTTGCTTTTCTCAACACAATTTCTGTACTGCATGCTGCCATATTTTAGATGTAAATCAAGGCAACACTACATTGTTGTGTACCGTGATATCAAATTACACTTACCCACTGCTTGCGTGCATGATTCCTCCTTTTAAAATATAGTATAAGCTTCTTGCGCATTGTCTGATTTCTATAACAAGATTTAAAAGAAGAAAAAAAACATGTTGGAAGGCAGCTGAGCAACATATGATCTTTATGTTTCAAGATTTAAAATAGTATCTGACCCTTTTGTAATTATTGAACATACAAACTGAGAAGCTACATAAACAGCAACAGAAAGAGTGGCAGATAAAGAAAAAAAAAAATCACTGGAAGAAGTATGCGTCTTTTTTAAGTATGTATATACGGTTAGGGAGGCAAGTATCTCCATAACCGCCCCCTCCGCTCTTTACAAGAGCTCCTGCTTTCCAGCTCCCTCATCAACTCCTCCCACGCTCGCCTCCAGGACTTCACTAGAGTCTCCCCCATCCTATGGAACTCTCTACCCCAACCTGTCCATCAGGCGTTCCCTTAAGACTCATCTCTTCATGGAAGCCTATCCCACCTCAAACTAACCACCGAACAATCACTTTCTCATACAAGCATCCCTGCACAGCTACCTCTTCATGTATCACTTGCCCCTCCCTTTTAGATTGTAAGCCCTCACGGACAGGGCCCTCCTTACCATCTTGTCTTGAATTGTATTGTGATTGTAATGTCTTCCTTATATTGTAAAGCGCTGCGCAAACTGTTGGCGCTATATAAATCCTGTATTAATAATAATAATAATATCTAAACTCTGTCTGCGCTCTCCTTGCTATATAAATCCTGTATAATAATAACAACAACAATACCCCTCCTAGATACATCTAAGGAGCCAGTACCTAATGTCCCTCAGAGATAACTGCTGGTACAATCATGTAAAAAGTAAGTACACCCCCATTGAAATTGTTCAACAGGCAAGACATTAGATCTTCATTCAAACAGAGCCTACAGATAAAGTTAAAAGAGAACTATGGGGTAAGTGTTTTTCCCCATAGTTCTTTTGGATCACAGGAGGACATATACTAACCTCCTCCCGTGAACCAAAGCTCAGTATATCGCGGGCTGTTGCCCGCGATATACTGTGAGCACCGCAGCTGGGACTGTCGAGATCCACTCAGCTGTGTGAGTGACAGCTGGCTCTGGCCAATCTAGAGGCAGAGCCAGCTGTGCCCGCCCCCGTCCGTTCCTCCACTTAGCGATGGAGGATCGGAGAGGGGAGGGGAAATCCCTGCAGGCAGCGGTGACTGAGAGTCATTGCTGTATGCAGGGAGACGATTGAGAAGTTAGGTGCATGTTTCTGCTCATTTCCCGATCGATAGAGCTGACCTGTGACAGCTTCATTGTCACACATCGGCTCTAACTATGAGGATGAGGGAAATCACTCACCTCATAGTTCTCCTTTAATAAGCCTGTAGAAATGACACTGTTATATTCATGTGTATTTGCAGTGTATTTTTCAATCGACTTTTATTGAAACAACCAATCTGTAAAATCAGCTGAAGTCACTGTGTGAGTAGTCTGACAGCAACACACCTGCCACTGTTAGAATACAATAGCCCAAGGAGGGGATTCCCCTATCCATTCTATTTAGCGTGAATGAGGAATCAAGCATTTTTTCTCCTTCAGCCCTGTATTTATTCTTTTTGATAAGACTATACAAAGCACCAGGCAATCATCTGCATTAATCACAAAACAAGCACATCTCCCATTTATTTGTATAAAATATTATTTATTAGTTTTATAAACTTGACTATTTCAACATTTGTTTTTCTCTGGAAAATGTACACAAGGCTGATTCCATGTATTTTATTTTGCTGATGTTAAAATAAATTGTCATCAGTTAAGATTCTTATCTTAATAAATACTGACTCAGCAAATTTGATTTCCAGTGCACTTACATTTTAATATTTTCATGATACTGCTTGGTGTCTGACGGCTGGTTGTACAATGGCTGCAATGAAAATCAATAGACAATTATCTACATGAAGCAGCTGTATGCATCACAAACTATAAAGGGTCCAAATCTCAGTGCTATGTGAACAGAAGACAGAGCTGCTGCTCATAGTCAAGGAGACTAAAGCAGAACTCAGGGGGACATTATTCATAACCCTTACAGTGGGGCAACCCCTGCACTGCAAGGGTTAAGTGCTTGCTTCTGTCTAGGTTAAAAAAATAACAAAGTTATACTACACTCAATTCTCTGAGCAAGCGTGCTCTTAGACCAGTCCCTGGAGGTACAGCGAGTTATCACGTTCTATACACTGTGGGGGGGAATTCATCTAAACTGGAGCAGACAGAAACTGGAGCAGTTGCCTATGGCAACCAATCAGCATCTCTCTTCAGTTTGCTCAGTTGAGATTTGTAAATGAGATAGAAGCTGATTGGTTGCAGTGCAAATATGCTCCAGATTGTGTCTGCTCCAGTTTTGATAAATTCCCCCTGTGTGTTGGAGGTGAGGATGCAAAAGGACATGCCATCACTGTAGCAGAGGAGGAGACAGGCGGAAGGGACTGTTCTAAGAGCAAGGCAGCTCGGAGGATCAGGTGAGTATCACTTTATTTTTTAAACTAGATAAAAACGAGCACTTAACCCTTGAAGTGCAGTGGTAGCCCCACTGCAAGGGTTAAGAATAATTTCCCCCAGAGTTCTGCTTTAAAGACGTATCTCCAGATATAAAAAAAGAAAGAAAACCAGCCCTTGCAGTAGGGCTAACCCTGCACTTCATGGGTAAGCGGCTCATTTTGCCTATCTGATCTTGGCTTCTGTAGCCTCTTCCCTTCTTCACTCTGGCAGTTGGAGGACTGCTGACGTCATCACATCTAATGCAGGGTCCATAGTCCTGCATTAGATGGGAGGATGCTGAGCCGGAGGGGAGATAGGAGAGTGCTGACTACTAGAGAAGCGAGGACCAGGTAAGTAAATCTGCTGTAGAGAATCCCCTAGACAAAAATGAGCAGTTAACCCTTGCAGTGCAGGGGTTAGCCCTACTGCAAGGGTAGTTTTGTTTTATACACAGAGATGGGCTTTAAAAAAAGTTTTAGTGATGGTGTACTATTAATGTGACATACCAGTTCTACATGAGGTCCCAGTCCTTCCAGTATCCGGTGAGCGGCCTCTGCTTTTTTCTGAAACACAAACGGGTTTCATCAGATGCAATGTCTATGATATTGATAACTATAATATAACAGATACAATGAAAGTGCAAGTATCACCTCTTCTTAAGAGCTCTCTACACTATATTATACAGTGCTATAATAATCAAATGTAACTTTTATTCCATAACACATATTGAAATGAAACATTCGACATGCACAAAATTACGGCAATCAATGGCTTGCACCCACTGCAAAAATGACCCAGGGAGCACATTTGCCAATACATGGTATGTATAACTCTATTAAAAAGAGCTGACTACATTCTTGCTGTAGAGCAAGGAAACCACCTAGTGGTCATCTTGACATAATGCAACACAAGAAAAACGGCAACCAAAGACCACATGATTTTTATTTTTACAATCATTTTTACCATTTCTTTAATATGCGTGACGTAATTCGTACATGTGCACAGCCAACAATTCATATACTCGTGCACGTGGGGGGCGCTTTTAGAATTTTTGGGGGTGTTTATTTTACTACGCTTCAATTCTAGAAACTTTTTTAACTTAATTTTTATTGCTATTGCAAGGAGCCAACAAGCCTCTTATGTGATCCCATAGTGCAGCTTATAGGTTCTTGTTAAAGGTAAAGTCAACTTATTGTGAATACCCCATAAAGCCGAAGCGAAGGCTTCCTGCAGCTGAAGTAATCCAAAGGTTTGGCTTAATCGTTTGGCTCCTTGGTGAATAACCCCCTATGTGTTTGTTACAGGTAATTATACTATTCAGTATATCAGATAGTTTTTTTTTATTTTACTTCATATTTGTCTCCACACTTTCATGCAGACCAAGATATAAAAGTGGTTGGGACAAGCCATATAACACAGCCAGTAGTGGTTGGAATGAGCAGTTTTATTTATATGCTTTACAATTTATTTTTTTAGAAAAATAAACTATTTTTGCATCTGCTCAAGCACCCCAGAACATGTCATGATTTGTCCAAACCCCTGTTATAATCACTGTAAATAAAGGTCTGTGCAACAAAAATAAACCTAAATAGGAACTGAACTCTGCACAATGTGCCCCCCAAAAAAGGCAGGCAGCGGACTAGTCACCACCAGTATTGTCTGCATTCCCCCAGCAGCTGATATTTTTTCCATTTACAAAATGATCATACCTTTGTTGTCCATGCTGATCTCACTCCAAATATCCTGAGACTAGCAGTCAGAGGCAGCAGTGCCTTAGATGTCTCCTTGCAGATATTCAGCTATGAGGTTGTAGGTACAGGAGTGTTTAGGCACACTCATATACCAAAAAGTACACTGCTATTTCCCGGGAGAAATTTAATAAAAAATGGTAACTCTTTCAGGCCTGGGTCTTATCTGTGTATTCCTGGGACGTGCGTCCCGGGAATGTGGGTTTGTATAAGTTGCCACGCCGCTATTGATTTCAATTGGGTCATATTCGCGCAGCAAAAAGGCTCCAGCACCTTTTTGTGCGACGTGCGGAAAGCAGTTTTTTCTGCTGCATTTCCACATGGGTGATATGCGGGCCAAGTTTGGGGTGTCAATAGAAATTAATGGCACCGCATGTGCGAATCGAAGTACGTTCTCGGAATGCTCAGATGTGAACCAGGCCTTAAGGCATTGCTTAGGCGCAATTCACATGTATAACTGTTACCCATAACATACCAAATCTTCACTTTGTGATATTAAAGTCAAACATTGTTTAAGCTATTTCAAAAGCAGATTAGATCACTTACAATGGGTGCTGCTCCTTAATTAAAAGTTTTAGCTTCCTGCAGAATCAGCTGGTCCCCAGAGCACTGGCCCTGATATCCTGTTTAGGGTGGCTCCTTTCCCCTGCAGGATCCTATGGAGCCACTCTTGTATGTGCTAGTAAGCTGTTTTCATAAAAACAGACACAGCTGGACAATCTACTCCTTCTTTCTGCTCCGCACGACTCCCTTCCTCCCTTCAGAAGTACAGATACTGGAGACTGCGCTCTACCTTATGATAGTGAACTGGACAGGAAGTTCAGGGAAGCCGAGCTGAGAGTTGGAGCCAGGTGTTTGGAAACATGATGACTGTAACTGCTTGGGCAAAAATGTAAAGAAATACTTTGCTGGGTACATTTGTTTGATCTGGCTTCATTCTAGAAAACAAGTTGGAGAGTTTACTACTACTTTAAGTTCATGTCTACTTTAATACTATCTTTGTGTATTAAAACCAAATGCCATGCACAATAATCCTACTGGAGTACAGTAAGATATACAGTGTTTTTTCTAAAAATGTACCTGCCATAAACTTTAGTGCTGTGGTCACATCCCTACCACCACAATTGTGATTGGCCAGGAGAGGGGTACAGATATGTGACCACAGCTATAGCCAGAGTGGGCACTGAAGTTCAGCAGGGGTTGGACTTCCATCTGTATGTATACTGATTGACAGGGAAAAGAAGTCAGTAGACAATATAGCGGGTGTGTTTTTAGAAAAGGCACTGTACATCTTACTGTACTCCAGTAAGAGTATTGTGGCTGGAGTTTGGTTTTAAATAGATAGTTATGAGAATACTTTTTGCAACAGTGGCTGAAACAGATATTCAGGAACTGCTGGAGTTAAAAAGTGAATGACATCTGTTTTTCCAGTCATGTTATCTACAGTATGAAACTATACATGTAATTTAGGGGACAAAATAACACCTCTGCACCAATAGCAATTACCGTGCAGCCTCAATTACCATAATCTGTGTAAAGAAGCATTCACCATTTTCATTTGTATGTGTACTAATTAAGCAATAGAATATATATAGAATATATTCTATACAATAAAAACATGAAAACAGTAAAATATTCTAAAACATGGTAAAAAAAACTGCTACTTTATTGCAAATCTGTCATTTTATTATGTAACAGACGATTACTGCCTTGTAATGCACTGGGTAGAGCTGGCTTGCTTGTTCTGCCTGGAAAAACCCTTTTAGCACTAACACCACACTACATAATGCCATAGACAATGCTACTACTGGGAAAGCAATGCATTGATAGGAAAGACATCTTAATAGTCTGGTCACCTCCTCCTATTATTCAGCAGCTGTGTATTGCTTGCAAATACCATTCCATCTCAGTGGGCCCTGCAGGATAGCAGTTATTAGGTGGAAGATTAATAAAAATGTCCCAGCACATTGCTCAGCATGGAAGAACACACACTGCAAATTCCAAAACGCTCTTAACACTTTCATACCACTCAAAGCGCAATAACACCAGCCCTCTGCTCATCTACCGTCCTGGGGGACCTGGCTACATTTAAAGGTCATCTCCATTAGCCCAGTGACATGATTTGATTGCAAAAAACACTGTGAAGGAAAGTCTTCAATGTGTGTCTAATGCAGAATGCTGCACTTAAAAACAGCAATAAAAGGATGCAGACAAATTTTAATGCCAATATTTATACTTCAATGGCTGTGTCAGACCTGTACAAGCAGTCATTTCATTGTAGTTTTTATCACTGCTGCTTAAAACAACTCACAGGGAAGGGAACAGCTGGAGGAAGTCCAGTCTTTAAAAACAAGGCTTTGATTTACAAAAGATGATTTCCTAAGACCATAAGGAAGAACAGCATGTGCTTATCTTATCACTGCATCCTCCACAGCTTTTGGATAGATAGACTCCATGTGTGATACTACAATGCTGCCACACATCCCTACTAAAGTACCACGCTCACAATCCCTACCAACTAATTATCCACCGCTATAAAAGGCAAGCATGACAAATCAAAATTATCACCATTATAAAGGATTTACAGTTGTGCTCAAACGTTTGCATACCCTTGGAGAATTGGTAATATGTGTACCATTTAGAAAAAAATTATTTAAGTATTTGCAAACAGGGCAAACAATATAAACAAAGGGATGTAAAGACAGTCAATGCGCAAAGGCTGAGAAACATCAACACTCAATAAGCAGCATAACGCAATTAATCATATAAAATCCAGATTAAGACATAGAAACTTGGGGAGACGACAACACACCATGAATACTCAAAGAGAAAACAATTTTTCTTGTTTTATAAAAACAAAGACATAT